TCTTACTGTCTAGAGCTGGTTCTTCAGTATTCATAGTTGAACCTTCCAGTATAGCCTCCACCTCAACCAAGTTTACCGACTTTGCACCTTCGTGGAAAGAATTGCTATGATATCCAATCGTACAATCTAGAGAACCCATTTTACTCGTTTTTCCGTTTGAAGTGAAAGGAATCTTCCAGTGCTTGTAAATAGCCATTAGTATGTCACTGTACGATGAATCTGATGACCTAAGAGCTTCAATAACAACATCCAGATCATTCGTGTGGTAGTAACTAACAGAGGACTCCGTGTCACATGAATCAAACCTGCAAATATTTTCAATAAAAACAAAAATATTTAAATGGATAATGAGAAATTAGATATAACCTAATCTAAATAAAAGAATAACAAACTCTTGGCCGGAAAAAAGGGTCGGAAAAAACTTTAAAAGAAAATCAACAAGAAGTTCCAAAAGCTCCAAAAGTAAATGTGCCCCAGTTCATTCACTTAGATATTAGCTGACATGAACAAAAAGGGCCTTTATCCCCCATCTCTTTTCCATGGAGTTTCTCCATTATCATGCATGGAAGAACGTTGCAAGGAAGGACGTCCTTTGCAAAAAAGGAGGACGGGGAACTCAATGTGGTGACAGGTTACCCTACCTAACGCGGCAAATCACTGAAGGTGCAATGATTGAAAGAAGAAATTGAAGTAATTGCAGAGGAAAAAATTATCAAACTTACACCAACAGGTACCCGCAGCTACTAAAGTACGTACGTCCATGAGGATCCATTCCTAAGAAATCAGCTCCCCGAAGTGATTTTGGCGTCTTCATCCAGGGCTTTTGCCTGTCAATAGCACACTCAGGGCAAAACCAGTCACCCTCTGGCAAGAGATCATTGGCTATTCCTACACACTTCAAATGATATGCAGCAGGACAGCCATCACAGCATATTAAGCTACCATCCATTTTGCACAGACAGCATTCATCACTATTCCAGTCTGTGGTGTCATCCATACCATCCTCCGACAGACAAGAATTAATGGAGGCATTTGCTGAAATCTTCTTCTTTTTGTATACCTCCAACCTCGCACTTCTATCACGAATAATTTCGGGCTCAGCTGCCAAAGACCTTCTGTTAATCTCTGACCTAATGGCTTCCGCTTCAATCATATCATCACATAGACAGCGAAGAATTTCGATCTTAATTCCCGTAGGTAGTTTGTAGCAATCATTTTTTAATAAATTCAGGTGACATAGATCAACGCCAGGTTTCAAACCTGAACCATGAATCAATAGATACTCAACCATAAAAATAGGCCACGTAATCAAGTCTAGCATATCCCAGTTAAGACTCCTGATCAAAATTTCAAAACAGAAAATATAACACATAATTATATTTGCATTTAAGTAAATATATAATCAAATAAAAGATAATGCAAGGATATTAACTATAATTGAATTAGCAAATAAAAAGTAATAGGAGGAACAATCTCTACCTTAAACAACTCGAAGCAGATTCCGAACCTTCGGCAGAGAGATACTCCAAATGCTTTCTTAGAGTTTTCAGAACAGAGAGATGTATATTATCAAATAATATAGTAGGAGATTTGCAGTTTAGGGCTGCCACAAAATCATCCAACTCAAATGGGCTAAGAAACAACAGAGTGCTAAATGATCTCAAACACGAATAAATAGAGAACAAGTCAAGGATGGGAATATCGTCAAGATTCAAGTTTTTCGAAGAGGGTGGTAATTGCAACTTAAGAGGAAAGGCAACAGGCATGTCGGATTCTTTACAATCATAAGCTACCTGTTTTTCCTCGGTTACCACACTAGCTACAGGGGAAGATATATCAGATGATGCAATTGGGACGGTTTTCTGTACGGATCCTCTACGTGTACTTCTCCTCAAAACTGTATCTGGTGTATTTACACCGTCCAAAACCTTTCGTTTCTTTCTTCGGCCACCACGCTGTTTGCATTGATCTTCGGAATTTCCTTGGAAACCATCAGTTGCTTGAGGACCAGCATCAGAGCTCACATCCTTCACTTCAATGTTGACCACGTTACCATCGTTAACAGCCACATCTCCACCAGAACTATAGCTGTCTTTCGGCAATTCTTCCTTGATATCGACATGAACTTCTTGCAAATTGCCACTTTCATGCTCAGATTCCATAATTTTGTCTGGAAGTCCTTCAACGTTATCATAAACTTTGTCTATTACTGCTTCATCACAAACTTTTTCTACTACTACTTCATCACAAACTTGGTGTATTTCTGCTTCATCACAAACATGGTCCATTACTGCTCCATCACGAACTTGATCCATTACTGCTTCGTCACAAACTTCATCTATTACTCCTTCTGTCGTCCCAGAAGAAGCAGCTTCTTCGCCGCCGTTATTGTTAGTATCCCCGTGTTCATCATTAACCTGTAAGTTCAAGTCAAAATCCCATTCCTTTTTCTTTGTTTCCACCAGCGAACAACTTACAGCTCCCCCAGTAAGATTCTCATCAAAGTCAGCATTAACATACAGATTCAAATCAATGGAGCCCCTTCTCTCTAATCTAGAATCTTTACTAGTACGGGCATGAACACCACTGCCGTCGATTAAATTGAACCACTCATTTGAGCTAGAACTCGCATTCAAATCTAATCCGTCTCTGAAATCTTCATTTCTACAAAGATTCCCATTGCCCGACCTATTTCCTACAAAACCCTTCTCAGATTCGCTTCTCCTTTCCAAAATATCTTCAAACCCATCACTGAGATCAACATTCATATCCAAATTCTCATTTCCCTCGAGACTTCCATTCAAATTCCCACCAACCCCATCAGCTATTTGTACGTTTTTTTCAACTTCATCGTTCAAATTCAAATTCTCATTTAAATCCTTAACACAAACAACACTTACCTCGAAGGCCATTTCTAGGGTTTCATCTGAATTCCCTTTATCAGGCACCGAATTCCTCCCAGCATTTGCCGATGCATCGCCAATTTCACATGTGCTCTCAATTCTTCGACGTTTCTTGGGCTTCCGGCCACGGCAGGGCCTGTTTTCCACCGGTTGAGACTGATCCTCCAAGAGCAAAGAGACCTCCGACAAAGCCAATTCCTCCGAATCACCACCTTCGAACTCCACCTCGAAGAACCTAGAAGAGCTATTGAAGGATTTAACAACACCCAAATGAATTCCACGGCCTTTGAACTCTTTCTTCACAGCTCTGCCCACGAACTCCATCAAGGGTGTAAAAGAACACCCAATTAAGAGCCGGAACTGTGATCTACAACAAACACCCAATTCAAAACCAAGGCTAATTAATTCCCACTGCTCCCGTTTCTCAAGTATTGTAGAAAATCGGCTTCTGGGTCTATGAGAAAGAGGGGAGAACGAGAACTTTCGTCGCTGAAAATGCTCAAGACATGCAAGACAGAAACGGGGTTTGTGTCAGTTGAACTAACAAGTCTTTTGAAGCGAAGCGGGGGTCGTGCCCTCAACAAGTGCTGGGAGAAAGAAAGTAAGAGAAGAGTAACGTGAAGTGACACAAAAATCAAAATAAAAATTATACTCTTCGATTCCAATAACTTTGCAATTGGACCGAAGAGGGGAATAAAGCAACCAACCAAATCTACACCAGCGAAGGTGGGTCAGATCCGGGGGCGTGGGCGGTCGAGATTTGGCTGTGGCAATGTGAAACCACCCTTATTTATTTGGGCTGTTTAGTTTGTGGCTGCGGCAACGGGAAAGTATAGTTCGTTTAGCGTGCTTTTCTTACAACGAATAATTTCGTGACTTCAACGGGATGGTTTGGGTCTTCTTGTCGCATAAAGATTTTCTCGTGGGTTCATAGATTTGTCATGTTCTTGAAGAAATTTTTGCGGGTTTAAGGTGGTTCTTGGATTATTCCTACGATTGCTATCGGATCTGATGGGGATGATTTTGGTCTTAGAGTTTAGATTCTTTATTAGATTCGTGAATTTCTCACTTTCCATGAAAAGATTTCAATGATTTAAGATTGTTCTTATATTATTGCTAGGATTGTCGTTTGACCCCATAGGATAGACTTTGTTCTTCCCAAGTCGTAAGATTATCCTTTGTATTCGTCGTTTTGTGACCTTTTTTGAGAAAATATCAAGATTTTAAGATGATTCTTAGATTATCCCTACGATTGTCGTCTAAACTCGTAATGAAGATGATTTCGATCTTCTTAGGGTGCAAAGCTTCTCCCTAGATTTGTGATTTTGTCACTTTCCTCGAGAAAATATAATTCAAAGTGGTCTTTGAATTATCCTTATAATTGCTATAAAATCTCAAAAGGACAATTTTGTTATAAATTTAATTATCATTTGATCAACTCTGTCTCCTTCAGGTCTTCACAGGAACCATTGTTCCTCTGTTATAAACTTAATTATCTAAAGACACTTTGATTGATTGAAAGATGGTCGTAAATTAATCTTAGATGTCGAGAAACTCTTTATCGAGCATCTATGATGGTTGACCATAACTTGAATCTTTTAACTTTTCGTTCGTTCAAAGATTCCAACAAATTAGTCATCGTGTTGTAGTTGGTCTCGGCCTCTTAGGCAACTAGAACTTAATATTTTTAACATTTTGTTCCTTCATAGATTCCAACAAATTAGGCGAGGTGTTGTGGTTGGCCTCTACCTCGACCTTTTAGACCCTAGTCAATCTCGTCCTCAGTTAATAGGTGTAACCATGTTCATTTATACATATGTGGTATCAGAGCGACTTTTAAAAATACAAAACAACTCAGTAAGTTCCAAACTGACCATCGAAGGGCAGTTAGACGTGATGTTGTGGTTGGTCTCGGCCTCTTAGGCTCTAGTCCAAATCGACGAGTACTCGAAATGAAAAGGTACATTTTAACCTCATTATCTCATTCCTTGGTTTCAATCATCCATCATCTAAAGTTCCATCCCTGTCAAGATCTGCACAATCCCATATCATAACTCTTTGCTTGGAAGATATGGAACGAAAATTGTCATTTCGTGACGAAATAAATGATCGTAACACCCGAGCAATTTAAGATAGATATTATGATACACGAATCCATGAACATAACTCGACAAGTACAATTAAACCGGTATCTATAACGATTGTCTAGCCTAATATGAATTTTTCGTGTAGCCAAATGTTACGTAGTGATCTATCTACCTAATCTACAAAAAGAAAACAGAAGAAGGATTGAGGGGATAAATAGAAAATGTTTAATACTAAAACAAATCCGATTACGCTGTTAGATCGAGTCCATAGATCGACGTAGGCTGCAGTAGACTGCTTTCCTGAAAAGCGGGTGTGCATCTTCTGATAACAAGACTTCTGCATCCAACTTCTCAATGTGTGGCCATATCTGTGAATATCACGATAAATGGTTCGAGTAAATATTAGCGTTCGGGTCATGTTGCTTTGATAGTTTTCGATATAGACCATAATTGTTTTCGTATCATTATTAGTTTTTATGATTGGCAGTCCTCAAAGTATGGCGCTCTAAGAAACGGAAAGTACCTCGGAAGCGTATTGTCTCGAGAAGGCCTTGACGTATCCTAAGGTTGTTAAACACCATTGTTCATTTTCACCTACAGTGTAAGCATGCTCTGTCCCACCGTTCACTTGACTGCAAAATGAAGAAAACAAAGTAAACTTGTAACGACCCAAGTCCACCGCTAGCAGATATCGTTTCTTTGGGCTTTCCCTTTCGGGCTTTCCCTCAAGGCTTTAAAACACGTCTGCTAGGGGAAGGTTTCCACACCCTTAATGAAGGGTGTTTTGTTCTCCTCCCCAACCAACCTGCACAAAACTCATAATGGAAGAAAGTGAGAAGGCAAAAATATAATGGATCATCATCTTCTTGACAAGAAAACCTTTTTTCAGGTCTTGAATCTTCATTGTCCATATCCATGGCTGCTGGTTCTTCTTCGAGGTCCATAGCATTCGTATCGGTTGGATTAATAGACTTCAAATCCTGCAGCGTTTGTACGCTAGATGCCGCTGGAAGGCGTTCGGTCAATATACTGGAGAAGCTTTTGTATAAGGATAGAAATAATGTCTGCACATGGAAAGAGATAAGGCGCTAAGTTGCTAACTCTCAATGTCGGTCCATGTTCGATGAAGGAGGTGAACATTATTTCTAGACTTAGAATCCATACCTCGTTCTCCTCGAGTGCTCGGGCAAGAAGAGCTTCTTTGGCTTCCAACGAGTCTCGTATCGATTCTTCCTGCTCTTTTGCTTTTTCAGCATAGGATTTCAATCGCTTCAGTCTTACAGGATTCTCTCCCATAACAGGTTCACCATCGACAAGTGCGAGCTTCGATTCAGCAGCGTTCAACTCGTCTTGTGTCTTCGCTACAGCTTCTTCAGCTGCCACAATATCTTTCTTCAGGGAGGATATTTCTTTCCTAAGATCGGAAATACGATTATACGTCTTGCACAACGCATTCCTTAATATCTGTGGATGAGGTAATAAGACAATTTTAGTTAAAACTTATTTGCATGAGTTACCATCACTTAATCCAGAAAGCTTGAAGAAAACACGTAAATTAAATCATGTTGAAATCGAACGACGAATAATAACGAGAATCTGTGGCAAAGTAGCGAAAAGGAAACGGAACCATGTACCTCCCATGGACGATCTGACGTATGATACTGCTCGATGTTTTCTGGAGAAAAGATCCATCTGATAATGGCCAAATTGGATATTAACCTGTAACCCATCATTCTATCAATTGCTATTGCCGTCATTTGAGTATTGTTCTTCCAGTAAGAACTCACTTCAGATATAAGCAAGACCTGCTTATCCTGATCAGGGCATATTCTTGATATCACTTGACCATATCTCTCCAAAACTGTTATCAAATGGGTGAAACTCTTTGACCCAATATCTAGAAGAGTTTGCACGATCACCACGAGCGAAACATCAAAACCATGCTTAGGAATTACAGTTTCATCGAGCCATGAAATTACTTCCCGTGCTGCAGCCCGTCCTTTCACCATATTGTATAATTCAGCAGAAAGTGCGTGTTGTTCATTTTTTTCTCCGTCGTCTTCTGTAGAAAATTTGAAGTTTGGTCCGCCCTTGGGAGGTAGCAACTCTTCTAAACCGGGCGCGTTCTCAATGCTCTACATAGTCACAATGTACTTGACATGTCAGAGAACAAAGTGCAAAACCAGGAAGGATAAGCTCATATTTATTCCATGTTCTGATTTTTCAGGCATACACAAATATTGAAAGATGAAACATCCCACAGAACCATAGCCACCGTCCGGCAGATCCTTTGTAACTCATTGTTCTTCTCATGCTGCCCGATAAATTATACATTCTGTATTTTCTATGAAGGACCGTTTTTGTAACGGCCTAAGTCCACCGCTAGCAGATATTGTCCTCTTTGGGTTTTCCCTTTTGGGCTTCCCCTCAAGGCTTTAAAACGCGTATCCTAGGGGAAGGTTTCCACACCCTTATAAAGGGTGTTTCGTTCTCCTCCCCAACCAATGTGGGATATTAAACTCCACCCCCCTTCAGAGCCCAGTGTCCTCGCTAGCACTCGTTTCTTTCTCCAATCGATGCGAGACCGTCACCAAATCCACCCCCCTTCGGGCCCCAACGTCCTTACTGGCACACCGTCTCATGTCAACCCACTTCGGGGAACAACCTCCTCACTGGTACATAGTCCGGTGTCTGGCTCTGATACCATTTGTAACAGCCCAAGTCTACCGCTAGCAGATACTATCCTCTTTGGGCTTTCCCTTTCGGGCTTCCCCTCAAGGCTTTAAAACACGTCTGCAAGGGGAAGGTTTCCACACCCTTATAAAGGGTGTTTCGTTCTCCTACCCAACCAATGTGGGATATTATAGATTTGTTTTATAAACATGCCGAGTAGGAGGCAAAAATGTATACAGTTCCAAGCATGACAAATACCTGCTTAATCTTATCCCAGTATGATAGACGAACTTCTCTATCCAGAACCTCCTTAACAAACACTCGCTGTGGAGCCCATTTTGGAAGTTCTAAAACATATGCCCATTCTTCCCATGGCCATATAAATTGAAAATTTGATCTGCATAAATAGTGGCAGAAATAACGTTAATACCCAGGAAATCTAACCTTAAAAGGAGAGCATGATTTTGTGCAAGTAACCCCAAATAGTACATCTTGAACACAAGAATAACATACATTTGTCATTGTAAATTGCTTCAGAAAATTTGCATAATTAAATGAATCCCTGAATCTTAAAGCATGCACCCACTTCAGAATCAATCATATGGAAGTTATGTGAGCACAAACACCTTAAGGATGTTACTTGTAACAATATCCAATTTGTTTACAAGATTTTGATACTCAAAGCATCAAAACTTGGGGTTTTTTTCAAGCCAAAAGCTTCAACAGTTTTCTCTTGCAATAGGATAGCATTTCTAGATATCGTGTTCTAAGACGGATGTGGAAAAAAGATAATAACATATGCATTCAATAAGCCATAAGGTCCATAACGCATGTATTGCAAGAAAGTTAATGTTTGCTCGCATGATAGTGAGCTTTTAGTGTTTGAACTTACAGATGGTGTGAAAACCAAAGTATTAGCCGTATGCGGCACTCCATGTCTAGATCAGCTATTTTCTCGAACAGAGCACGAACTGCACCAGCTACAACTGCAGGAAAGGCCCCAGGAAGAGCCTAAATATACCTCATAGTCATATATTTTCCCATATAAGACTTTTGGTCGAAACGAAAAAGAAACGAAACAATTTTTTTTTCAATAACAAAAGCACGTACCTTACAAAGGTCAATAATGACCAGCGTATAATAAATAGGCTTGAATGGTGGTTGTGGTAGCATGAGTAACTGCAAGTAATATCAATATTTTTGAGAGAGGAAGGGGGGAAGCAACTTTGACCATGACTTTTAAAAAAATCATAAAAACTCAATATAAAGAGAAAATTAAGAAAATATATATTTTTTAAATGAAATAGAACTTTGAACAGTTGTTCTTCTCAGCTAAGTTTGAGGTGAACCAACTATTCTCCCGTGTGGAGCGATTCGAATTTCAAACAAGTTTTCTTGCCTTGAGATATTTGATTTACGAGATAATCTGAATCTTACTTTCCCTTGGATTGATTACTTATCATTTTGGGTTCTTAGATATTTTAGATCTAAAGGTCTTATTCTTCAATAAGGTTGTTAGATCGAATCCCCAAGAGTTACAATCATTTGGGATGAAATCAACTTGATTTGGGAGTTCTAGCATTTATGATCTAGGGGTTTGCATATCCACGAGGGTTCTTAGAACCAATTGGCTAAGGTTTTCAATAGGTAATCTGAATCTTACTTTCCCAATACGTAATCTGAATCTTACTTTCCCTTGGAGTGATTCCTTATCATTTTGGGGTTCTTAGATACTTTAGATCTAAGAGTCTTATTCAGTCTTATTCTTCAATAAGGTTGTTAGATCGAATTCTCAAGAGTTACAATCATTTTGGATGAAATCAACTTGATTTAGAAGTTCTAGCATTCGTGATCTAGGGGTTTGCATATCCATGAGGGTTCTTAGGATCGACTCCTTCATTTCTTGTGGGGCTGTTAGTTTGCTCAATCTCTTTGGTTTTGGTGGTAAGAATCATTTGGCTTATGTTGGGGCTTGAAATTATGACTATTACACTATGATTGAGGAGATACACCTAAGTTCAGCTTTTCGGGAGAAGGGAAGAGCTTCATGCGATGCTTGTTTCTTTATAACTTTGCGGAGAGTTCGACTCGAGAGAAACAATAGGATATTTATAGAGCTAGATTGAACGCCAATAGCATTTTGTGGAGAGAGTTCGGCTCGAGAGAAACAATAGCATTATGTCGGAGAGTCTCCCGCAAGGATTGGATGCCAATAAGAGATCTTTATGTTACTACTTTTGTTTCATGGTTTTTAAGCTCTAGCCTTTTGTACATTTCATTCAATCATAAAATTGGGAAAGAGGAAGACAACAAATGCTTCAATAATTAACCAGAAAGATAGCTGCACACCTGCGAGAAGATTGTCTCTGCCATAAGATACTCATATCTAAAAGGTACAGGGAGACCAACCATGAAAGACGCACATTCCTTTCGACTAGCTTTGCATGAAACAAGACAAATAAACCACTGTTACATGTTGAATTTCAACTTATTGAAACGTATAAAAACGTCATTCCATAAAACATTTAAAAGAAACTCTACATATTTATTCGCATTATATAGTTAATTGAATGGTAGTATACGAATTTACAACAGAATATTGGTTAAAAGGTACAAAAGACCTTCACATTTGGTCACTTAAGTTAAACTTGGAGGACCTGTTCACTTGAATATACAGTGTAGAGGAGAATATACAATCAGAATGAGGCAATAAATCCTATGAAAAACAAGCCATACAGTCCACGAAAACCGTAGTTAGGAGGATTTATGACAATAACAAGAATCATAGATAGACTAATCTATCTTAAAAGCACCTATTGTTTGTTTCTTTCAAGCTAAAACATGAACAATCAAACAGAGCCTTCTATAATTCCTTCGGACTTTCCCTTACTTTCATTCAATTTGTTTCCGTAGATACCATCTTTTAGAACAAAAACATGCTAATACAGAGTATTTTAAGTGCATAATGATCTTCCCTTCACAAGACACACCTAATCATGTTGTCAAATGCAACGTTCTTGAAACGATCTCTCCTAAAACCTAACTGATTAACAGATGAGGGAAGCTTAATGGTCTCGTATTCATTGTTAAATTATAGATATGGAGAAATTACGAACCAGCCATTGAAGAAAAGAAGCACATCTAAAAGATACTCCTCCACGACAAAACGATCAATAGGTTGCAGATCCTGCATCAACAAAGGTCGAAGAAACACGCACATTCAATTGAGGACCACGTTTGAATTTGGTATATATCATGTAATCATAAACCAATAAAAAAATATATTAATACCGGACTAAAAGAGAAGAGAATATAAACTCATTCACAATTTTTTATTGAGGCCAGTAAAACAAATTAAGTCACACTAAATATAACTCCTTACACAAAGTCTTAGTAATCTATCTTTTGTAGATAACATTTACAAGTCGACAAAACTAATGACGTTAATGTCCAAAAATAAATAGTACCTCAAATTTACTTGATGGAAATATATTAAGCCGACGTATCCTTTGAGGATAACTTAACTCTGCATCATACTTCTGTTTACCATAAGTAATGCCAGAAGGTGTTGAAGGTGAATCAGGTTGCTCCGGACAGCTGATGCTTCCAAATTCATGAGACTTACCAGCAACTAGCTGAGCTTCAAATAGAAGGTGGGGCCTTGGAACTATCACATGAGAAGATATAACAATTACTGAAAATACAAAATATAAAACTCTACATCACTGACCCACCTCTAAGACTCATAGGTATATTTTCTTTGTAAATACTTTGTCATACACCGTTGCGCCCCTTGGGGATCTCTCCGGTACGACTTCACAAGACCCCGTTTCCCTTCCCTGTATCGTCGATACCATAGGTATCTAGAAATGTGTAGCACAACTAGAGGATTCTAAAGCTCTGCTAAATTTGGAAATACCATAGCTGTGGGGCTCATTTCCTTATCTATTCCCAATGGAGAATCCCTACCCCGTGATATGTTTCCCCATGAAGCCGACTGTACAAGGCCTCTCTTAAAGCCTTTTCTTGGTTTTTCTCGTCAAGATATTTATCCCTATTGGAATGCTTTATTATATCCCTATTTCTATTGTTGCTGTCTGGTTATGTTTTTGTTCTTTCATTTAGTCCTTGATCTATATGTTTCTTAGTTCGGTCTTGCTGTTGTTTCCTTTTACTCTCTTTCACTCCTTTTGGAGTTTGTATCTTTGAGTTTTAGTCTCTTTTCCTTACACCAATGAAAAACTAATGAACAATAACATTGTTGATGAATCCTTACTGCTAGTAATGTTTCATCGACTCTGGAGAGAGAAAATTAAAAAAACCAAGCAAACAGAGACGAACTAGATAGCAAGGTTCCATCAAAAGAAGATACTGAACTATCATATACTATCAAGGGTCAATTTAAATTCTTGCAACTCGGTGATCGAGTCCCACTTAGAGAAACTCTCAGAGATACCAATGCATCTCACAGCAATATGAACGAAAATGTATGGATTCTAGATGTAAATGGGGTTTTCAAAGTTACTACTATACCAATCCCTCATGGCATATGCTTTCAGCAGTTCTATACATGGATCAATTTCCCTTTATTGATTGTAAAATATAATGATATAGGGACATAAAAGGACCAGAGTAAATAACCAAATTGAGGCTTAAAGTTTAAGAAAATCACCACTATCCACTTTCCATCCATCACTAGATAACGCTTGTATGCGTCCCCATAAATCTTCTAAAAAATCCTGAAACGACCGCCAAAACAAAAGGATTAATGTAACTTATGTTGCAAATTTCATAACAAGGTGATAAAACCAAATTTATCTATTTTGAGCTCTGGTGAGAGCATGGGGAGGAGGGAAGACAAGGTGGAAGCTTTTTCTACATGGCCTGGTTTATGATTAGAATTCTTTCACTGTTGCTTACAGTAATTTGTTACGATTTCTTACGGCCACAGGTTTTACTTTATAGTTAGTTCGCCTTGTTGGTTGAATTTAGTTGAGCAGTGTTAATCCTGAGCCAGTTGATAAAATATAGATAAGAAAACAAAGAAACCCCTAGTAAACAAGCTTAACTTTTAAAAACAAAATCATTATCATACTAATTGTGTTCAGTTCCAATCATAAGGCAGAATCTCCAACTGAAACAACATAGGTTTTTCTAATGACATAACAGATTCGACACCATGACATTTATAACTAACAGCATTGCCGTATATATATTGAAAAAACAGTCAACCCGAAACGGATTCCCAATCAAGTAGAAAAGTTTAGAATTATGATAAAGAATTATCGCAACTAGTGAAATTATACCTTCTCATTAAGAGTTTTCTCAACTTCACCAGCATCCTCAAAAAAGGATAAACCAGTGTCCACGGTATGCCTTCGAATGCTTAAGTAAGCTTCTACTCCAACCATTACTCTCTCGAGCTCTTCAGGAACTTGCTGCGCACGAAGATGAGTTTTCAATGAAAGAGGCTCTTTGGCCAACATGAGTATAGCTCAGCAATTAAAAACAAGTTCGTAGGTTTGAAATCCTCATCCCACGTGTTGTTGTAACATTCTAAAAATAGTAGAGTATTTAAATAATTCTTTTAGAGCAATCACAGGAAGAACCAAATTCAGAGACAAAACAACAATACCTCAACCAGTTCAGCTCCTCCCCAGGGAAAACAGGAGAGAATGCAAGATATGTAAAAGTCAGCGCGTGCCTGCCATGCAGGGTTTCCCTTCTCTTCATCCACTGTTGTGGCAGCTGAAGATAATAATGTTTCAAAAACAACAACTAGAGAAGTGGACAGCAGGACTTTACTGCTCATCTACATAAGACAAAAAACAATGAACCCATTTAAAAGGTCAGAATATTTTTTTAAGATGACAGAAAAAAACTATAATACGTTAAGTTTTCAAATTTAAACAATGATAATATCTCGGTCAAAAACAATGTATTGTTAATAGCAAAATCAAGCATACCAGGGTAGTTAGAAAGCGTAACAAAATTCGAATCCCGTGGCAATTTCCAGTGTTTAAGGCATCCTGAAAAAGAACTACGAGTAAGATAAACGAAGTATATCTGATGAAATAATTGAAATTCGAATACTAAGGATGGGAGTCGAACATCCCGAAAACTTTTTTTCTTTTATATGAAACAGCAAGATTTGTATTCATATCAGCAAAAGGAAAACAAGTTGAGGGAAAGGGGTAGGGGGAGAACCCCTTCCCAAACAAAAGAACTATCACAAAGTAAAACCTTCCAATTTCTAACAATCAAGGCCAGGCTATAAGTACACCATCTTTTACAATTGGCGCACTAACAGAAGAGTAATCGCAGAACGAAGATACTTGTCCTTGATCGCACCATACACTTTTTAATATCTATGAGTGTTCACGCCAGCTTGCAAACACTTCAACTATCTGACGCTACTATATTTGGTTGTCAAGGTGATTCGTAGGATTTTTTTTTATTGGTGATCTCCTCATCGTGCAGCATTTTATTTAATGAATAAAGTTGTTTACTACCCAAAAAAATATTGAATAGGCCAAGAACTTATTAGGCACAAAATTGAAAATTCCAACCTATTAGCTACAAAAATGAAAATCTACACGACTTTAAAAGTTCAAGAACTAAATATATAATTTACTCGTTTCTTTTTTATTTTTGTGTATGGAAGTGCCTTAATTCACTTCACTAAGACAATGACAATGTGTCTTTCTCGCCTCTCACTTTGAAGGCATCAAGACACTTATCCCCTTGAGGCAATTGGATTGAATTTGTGAGGATTTGTGGTTGGGGTCATAGGAGAAGTTCAGAAAGGAAGCAACTCGGCAGAAAGTTCGAACGGCACAAGAAATGAAAACATCTAAACCATGTGATCCGCAAAATTGCTAACCTGAAAACTTTTGTGAGTTTGGTCCACAATTTTCTTCACGAAGTCTTCATTTTCCAAGTTTATTAACCCAATCTGTATGCACAACAAGATAGATATATAACCATCATTGAAAATTATAAGTAAACATTAAAGCAAAAAAGAGAGAAAGAAAGGAAGAGAGACCGTGCTTACCAGTTGGAGTGAGAGTATAACGGAATCAAAGGGAGTATAAAGGAAACAAGGGTATGAAAAACCATTCCACTTGTGAAAGAATATACAAAGGGAAGAGGGAGCCAAAGCAACAAACCAAACTAGGGAAAAAGAAAGAAGGTTTGTCTTTTCCTGAAGGAAACATACTATTTTGTTGAATCAAATAATACACTACAGGAAAAAGAGGAAATGCCCGACCACGTAGCTCTAGAGTTATAAACGATACATGAAAAAGAACAGAAAAGGAAATAGCAAAAGGAAGGCCACTGCATTTCATAACTTTGAATCTAAAGCTTTGGCTTTTCATGGGAAACGTTTAGAATAGATTTGTATGTATAGCTAATTCAGTCGTGCTTGTCCTTTCTCGAAAGTATCCTTTTCTAGGAACATGGTCAACCAGAAATTAGATGCAGAAAATGCTCTAGTTTTCCATTCTCATATGAGGCTAAAAAGTTTATTAGCAACTAGTCGGCATGAAGCTCTTTATCATGCTCAAAGACAAGCCGATCGTCCGTTAGGGACTTGATAAATAAGATTTATAATGCTGTACAGTACTATACATGTGAGACATAACTAAGAAGTTGAAGCTAAATCACACGAGATAGCAACATAAGCACATCATTGCAAGACAGAAGTTTTAAGAAAAGATATCCACAGTAGGTATGAAGAATGTAATGTGCTTTACCAATGTCCCGTACAAAGGAGTCTTATGAGGCAATTGTTCAACGCATTGTAGAAGGAACTGCAGACGAGAAAAAAGAAAACAGTGTAAATACCACAAGCATAGAGTAATTAGACACGACTCAATGTGCCACGAAGGGATACAACTAAATAAGTTGCCAGCAAAAAAAAAAAAGAACTCAGTTTCACACGTGCTGCTGATATAGTGATTCAACCAGTATAATTTCACCCAATACAAGGACTGCAAATTTCATCAAGACCCAGATAAATTACAGAGCACACGTGCTGCAGATATAGTAATTCAACCAGTACAAGTTCATCCAATACAAAGACTGCAAATTTCATGAAGACCCAGATAAATTAAAGAGCAAAGAGTGTGCAGAAGCAAAGAATTACAGGCAAAACTTCATCTCCATAGTGATCCAACTCCCGCCGAATCGCACCAAAGCAAGTTTCCTGCAAAACCCAGATGAAAATCAACAGCCAGAAGTCGAATACCGGCGTACAAATGGAGGAATATAGAGAGAGAGAGAGACGAACAATATGGTCTTTGAAGTCGGAGGAGGTGCCATATTCCGGGGACTTGTCGCCAATTCGAAGAAGAAGACTCTTCCAGCTGCTCATTACTACCCAGAAGAAGAAAAAAAAAAAAAGGTCGTAGAGGGAAAATGAGGAGATGGGGAAGTGGGTTCGAATCAACACACGGGACTGTAAAAGCGAAGATGCTTTAAGAGAAGAATGACCTATGAACGCGGGCGTAGAAGGGAGTAAGACCGAGGGCGTAGAAGGGAGATTAGAGGGTTCTTATAATTATTAAACACAAAATAATTAAAATTTCAATTTTTAACCTAAATTTTTAAAAATTTTAAAAACAAAAAATAAAATAGGCCGAACCAAAATATAAAAATGAAATTACAACAATGCCCCCAAGGGGATTTTCTATCTTCTCTACTTATTTCATTCTCTCGTTAAATATTTTATTTATTTTTGTATGATCGGTTTATTATTTTTAAAAAATATATCTATTTTAAAGTTTTTATTATTCCATATAATTTTTATTAAATAAAGATAAAATAAAATCATTAATAAATAAGTATATTTCATATATTATATTTTAACAACATAATTTTAAAAAATAGATAAAATATACAATAGGCTTAAGTATTCTTAAATTAACTAATTTATTTTTTTTAAAAAAAAGGATTTAAAATGAAAATATATATATTAGAAAAAAGAAAAAAATCTAAATAGAAATTGGGAAACCCTTGTTTGGATTCCCAAAACCCCCGCCATTCCCATCTTCTTCCCTCCCGTTTGCCCTTCAGCATTTGGCAGAACCGATTTGGAGCTCTGAGAGACCTTTGGGTTAGCTATGGCCAGCGCTGATGTTGAGGCTGTCGACTTTGAGCCCGAGGAAGACGACCTCATGGACGAGGATGGAGCTGCCGAAGCCGATGTCTCCCCACGAGCTCCTTTTCCTAAGCTCAAATCCGCCATTACTGGTGGCGCATCTTCCACGTTGGCCGGTGGTTTGAAGAAAACCAAGGGTCGTGGATTTCGAGAAGATTCTGATCGTAACACCCGTCTTGCTGGGTCGGATTTCGATTCCCTCAATTCTGCTGATGGCCCTGGCGTCCAACGATGTTAGTCTTGCCTTTCTCTCTTTCTCTATCTATCTGTTATTCTCATTTACTTCGTTTGACTGATTGCGTTTTTTGTTTTTTTTTTTTCTGTTAATGTCGGTTAGTTTTCCCTCTTGTTTCAATAATGCAAATCTTAGCTGAAATTTTGGTGTTAAAGATTCATGTGTATTAGCTATATATTGCTTCTTGGAGTTGATGCAAGGTTGGTTTCTTTTAGGAGTTTGGTGGTTGAGAGGATCTTCGGCTACTTATCTAAAGAGGAAGAATTTTCTTCTTTCTAGGGGGGAACTGAGGAAGTATAACCTTGGTTCGTTTGGGTCTTTCAAACGAAAGTTATTTACAATATGGGGTTAGTTCAATTGGGTCATTCAAATGAGCTTACTTACTCTTTATCCCTTTAAACCACAAAAGTTATTAAGAAAATGAAGAAGTTAATCGGGAACTTTTTAGGGAGAGGCAAATAGAGAGGGTAGCGGCACATTGTGAAATGCTTATTGTTCGCTTACCTTCCTCATTGGTTGCTTAAAACAAGGAACCTTTTTGTTCTAGTGTGGGTTTGTAGATTTTCCTTGGAGAGATCATTCAGCATCAGCTGATTATAATCAAGGACGGGTTAAGTGGTCTCAGTTGGTTTACTTGTTCTCCTTCATCCTCTTGTCCTAAATCCCCTTGGTTCCATGCCAATAAGTGTTGATCGTTAGCTGGTCAATTCTTCTATTTTAAGTTGGAAAAGGGGAGAAATTACAGTATTGGTCGGGTGTTTTAGACCTCTACTCATTCCTAGCTGGTATGATGTATGATCTCTCATGTATCAAATATGAGGTTGAAACTCATAGATGGAATAAACTTTACCCTCATAAGTAAATTTTGCTAATTATGCATCCTAATCAATAAGATTCTAAATTGTGGGCTTTGGGTAGTTTGGAGTTTTATTGTGCTAATCGTTTCTCTCTAAAGCTTTTTGTGATTTATTTGTAGTACAATAGATGTGGGGTATGCACATTTGAGTACGTGCCAATTACCTTTGAGCTAGGCTCATTTTGGCTTGTGAGTTGCTTATTGTATTCTAAAAAGTTTGTCTTTTGGGATCAAGCATTCTAAAGTTCCTAATAGGATTCAAGTTTTCTCCGTGGTCCCTTGTCATCTATTTCATCAAAACTAATGACAGGAATATCGGATTCAGTGATGAAATCCTTGAATCTCTCCCTTATTCCCAACAGTGTATTAACCTTAGTAATAGTGTAGAGGATAAGCCACCTTTTATCGTTCACCCTTTTCCTATGGCTGTTGAATGTTGTCTTCCTGGAATTTTGCTCACACGATTGTATGCACATGTTTTTTGCAGTCTTTCTCTTGAAAGCCTAAAATGATTTGCCTTTTTGGTGCTAAAATGGTTCTTTGGTGAATGCTTGTATTGCTCATCTTTGGCACTTGTGCTTGAAAAGACGCAATTGATTTTTTTATGATACTCTAATACTTGGAATGATTTCTTTGCTTTGATTCATTTTGTAGCTCTCCTCTGGAGCTTTTTCAACAAATTTTTTTTTTTTAATTATTATCCTATCTTAGAGATTTAAACTGGGAAGCTCTTCATAATTTCTTCGTTTGGGTTTGGGGTACATCTTATCCTCCCCTTTTGTGCACTTTTTCAATGTTTTTTAGTTATTTATAGAGTTTTTGTCTACTGAACAAGAAAAGCGGCCCAGGACTTTAGTCATTTCAAGAAAAAAAAATCCACAAACAATTATCCTCTTGGATTTATGAGTAAACAAATGATTGGATGTGTCCAAATTTCCATAAACAAGAAAGTTCACGTGTGAGGCAGTATATCCTTTAGCTAGTGCACTTTTTGAACAATTTCTAATTCTAGTTACTGTGTGTAGCTATTGAAGGATGGATCATTCTGGTATCTGGTGTACACGAAGAGGCACAGGAGGATGATCTACAAAATGCATTTGGTGACTTTGGGGAGATAAAGAATTTGCATCTAAATCTCGATCGCCGTACTGGGTTTGTCAAGGTATATTTGGTTACCATTTATTTTTATTTTTTCCTATAGAAACCGGAACTTATGTTTTATCTGCTTCCGATTAAGGAGAAGGAGAATATGCATATATGTGGTTGTCTTATAGTTAAAAATGTATAATAACTAGGAAGTTTTGAAAGGAATCCAAATAGAAAACTCATATTTTGATGATGATCGTATGGTTTGTAAGAAGAATGGAGTAGTATTGTAAATTCTATTTTGATATTGAAAAACAATTTAATTTGCGTCTTCTCCCTTTTCTTTGCGTCCCTTCCCGAAAGCACAATAAATTATCTTAATATTAAGTCTACCGATTGGGGCAGTGTTTTTCAAGCTCCATTCGAGTTTATAGCATCTTTCATGAGCATTAAACTTCGAAATCTGGATTATTTTGGTGATAGATATCTGCATAGGTAACACATTGCATGCGTATTACAATAGTCTGCTTTGCCATAGGTTATTAAGTGACAGCCGTGTGTATTGGAGCTGGAAGTAGAAATTTTTAGTTCCAATATTATATCCCGAGTTGATTGATGAAGATGACTATTCGGGCTTCCATTGCATCTCATCTGTTATCTATTGTTAACGATCCCCGACTCAGAAATTTACCGATTTTCCATTGTTCTGAAGTGCTGATTAATATTTACTATTTTGGTTTTGGCAAGGGGTATGCGTTGATCGAATACGAGAGCTTTGAGGAAGCAGAGAAAGCAATATCTGGCATGGATGGAGCTGAACTTCTGACCCAAATTATCAATGTTGATTGGGCATTCAGCCGTGGACCCATCAGAAGAAAGAACACAAGGTATGCTTGCTTCTACAAGATCCATTCAATATTTGCAAGGGGAATAGTCACAGTCTATAACCTTTCGTTCTAATTTAACCGCAGACCTGCACGAGAACGACGTTCGAGGAGCCCAAGGAGGAGATATTGATCTGGAGGTGTAGAACTCCAGGTGTGGTGTGGTGTTTATGATTTTAAATTGGAAAGGTGTTGTGTTGTGGATTAGATATTAGGTGATGTTTCTACTGAGCTCTTACTCAACTGTCTCTCAAGATTCCCCTGGTTTCTTGGGGGATCTGAAGTTGATGATATTCCCCCCTTTTTCCTTGGATTACTTGAGGTTCATGCTTTTTTGTGTAGAAACCTGCTATTTTGTATATTCTTTTGTTCCAAATTTGGTTCGGATCGAGGGTTTTGGATTTGGTCGTTCTCCGAACGCCCTCCTCCGTTGGAATCACATGTACTCTTTTCTTTGAGGTCAGAGGTTCAAATTCTCGTTATTTCATATGATTTTAGTATTAATATCTTGACCTCAATAACCTCTTTTTATTTTTCTTCTAGTTACTTAAATATTTTAAATAAAATATTTTCAACAAAATAATTGAATTGAATGAATATTCTTTTGCAATAAATAGAATATTCTGTATGGTTCTATCGGATGTCATCTTTGAAAATTATGATTGTTTTATTAATATTTTTCGATTATGGGTTTTTTTTAAGTAAAAGATTTGAATTTGTGTCAAATTAAAAAAAATAAAAGCATTTTTTTAGTTTTCAAATTTTAGTTTGGTTTTTTAATATATATATATAAAAGAAGTAAATTACAAAGTAGAAATAATATTTATAGGCTAAGTTTTTTAAAATAAAAAATTAAATGATTTATCAAAAAATAACATATTTTTTAATTACTTCAAATTGTTAAACGTCATTTTATCATTTTATCATTTACGTTGTATCATTGGTTAACGCAATTATTCATTTACGATTCATAATTTACAGACCAAAATTTGAATATCTTATAAAAATAATCAACCCAAACAATATGCTCGTCAATTTTATACCTTTAAATGCATCGTCGAACAGGTAGGTTGCGGCGATTAATGACAAATTTAGTGAATTTATGGGAAAATAAAAATAAAATTTTGTATGGTAAGAAATGAGCATTTGAATTAATGTGTTTATTTAAGTGGAAAATAGAGTGTTTGGTGTGAGAAGACAAAATCCCGTAAGGTGTCGGAATAAAGCCAAACACACAGCCTTAAGCATTCACCTGGTTTATGGTAATTCCAATCACATGGCCCCCTCCACC